GAGCTGAAGTCGGCGGCTTAACCGACTGAGCCACCCAGGCGCCCTGAGAAGGTATTTTTTAGATGTACAAAAATTCTTCTGTAGTTAAATCTGTGTTTCTTCCTCTGATATCTGTCTCTGTATGTAAGACCTTCTCTAGAAGTTATTTTTGGGTATGTGGTGAGGACGATCTAACTTTATTATTCTATATACATATTACCCAAGCAGCATCTATTTCAAAAATTCTTCCTTTTTCATTGATTGGAAATGGCCCACAGGGCCCATCCTAGTCTAACTTCCCCCCACCTTGACAGCCTCATGTGGCCTCAGTCCTCCCCCCTGCTCATTGTCCCAGTTGTCCCACATTCTCGAAGGCTTCTTTCCTTCCCGCTCAGGAAGGACGAGTCTCTTTGTGTGTGTCATTCCTTATGTCTGGAAGACTGGACCATTTCCCTGCAGCAACGCCCCTGCCCAATATGAAAGATCTCGTAGCTCTTGTCACAATTTATAACAAGAGAATTACAGCTCCCCGGGACCCCTAGTGCCTGGCACATAGAAGGCAGTACATACTTAGAGTGAATGAATTGTAGCCTAATCATACATTTTGACATCTAGATGTTTAGCTGGGTTTTTTGTTATTGTTATTTTCTAAAATTTCTTCAGTGTTTATTCTAGATCTACACAGTCCAGTGTGGTAGCCACTGGCCACATGTGGCTACTGAGCACTTAAAATGTGATTATTCCAAATTGAGATGTGCTGTAAGTGTAAAATACACATAGATTTCAAAGAGTTAGTATGGAAAAAAAGAATGTAAAATGTCTCATTAATAACTTTCTAATATTTCTTATATGTTGAGAATGTTTTAAATGTTAGGTTAAGTAAAAATGTATAAAATTTAATAATGTTTATTTTTAAACAGTGTTAACTGCTAGAAAACACTACACATGTGGCTAACCTTATATTTCTGTTGGACAGCAATGTTCTAGATGAATTGTAAAATCATTTTGTGAAGTTACTGAGAATGTTCTTCATTGGGCTGCATTATATTTATAAATTAATTTGGTGGGAAAGTGCCTATAGTATTGCATTTTTCAGAAGCGTGATATGTATCTTCATTTACACATACATATTTTTGTCTTTATCAAAATGTTAGTTTCTTCTTGCAGATCCTGACTATTTTTTGTTTAGCCCCCAGGTATATTATGGTTTCTGTTACTATTGTTGGTTGCAACTTGTCATTATCTTACTTAACTTGTGTTTTATGTACAATAATTTATGAAACGCTCCATTTACTAGATCCTGCCTCTACCAGATTTGTTCCAGTGGTTCACTGTGTTTTCTGTGTAAATAGTCCTGTCTGCCTTGAATAGTAATTTCACCTCCTCTTTTCTAATAGCTTCGGGCCTTAATTTTTTCTTGTCTGTTGCTTTGGCTAGAACTTCCAGAACAATGTTAAGAGTAAGAGAAGTGATGGGCAGACAACCTTGTATCCTCCCAGGCACTAATGGGAATGCCTTATGAAAGTGTTTACCAGAGTGTGCACCAGGGAACACTAATTCTTGGGAATATTTACATGTGTACCTTGGGAGAAGAGTTACACGCTAAAATGAGTGTGCAAACCACTTAGTTAAATAGAATTCTTGTCTGCAGGACTTTTCAGGTGGGTTATTATGCTAATACATTTTTTACTTCCTAGGAGGTAGGGATATTGACACCAACTCATGGGCTTGTGTTCTATTGAATATATTTTGGGAAATGCAGGTATAATGTTTTCTTTCTAAGGATGATGGTGCTGTTGGTTGGCAGTAGGTACTGTTTATTATATTAAGAAAGTATATTAAGAAAATACTCTCTTCGTATTTTTTCCTTACTTTGAAAAGGCATTTAACTTTCTAAAATCCATGTTTGGCATAGTTTTGATTTGGTTGTGTGGTTTTTCCCCCTTTGACTTACTGATGTGGCAGATTATATATTTCCTAACATGTAGCCATCCTTACATTTGGTCACAATATATTATTCTTTTAATAGGTTATATTTGCGAGGATTTCCTCGAGGACTTTAAAATCTGTTTACTTAGGTAGGGTTGACACTTGTCTTCTTTACCCTGTTCACCATCTTCTGGTATCAGATTTATGCCATATAAATGGAGATGCTTTAATTTTCTTTCTTTCTTTTTTTTTTTTTTTTGAGATGCCTTAAGTGTTTTAACATGCATCTAAAACAGTGTGAACGGCCTGAAGATCATTTATGCTTTGGCACTTCTGTTTCTTTTTGTTTAATTCTGCCAATTTATGTTACTCTAAAAATATGTCCTTTCCGTACAGATTTCAAATTGATTTCAGTCATAACTCTAGGATAAATAAGGGCACGGTATTCCTCCTTAACTAAAATGTTTTAACTCAAATTCTGACATGATAAAAAAAAAAAATCTTGTGTGATCTAGTCAAACTAACTGGTTGATCCTTTCCTGCGAGAGTCAGATTAAATTGCACGTTGTCGTGTCTTGTTATGGCTATGTGGTTTTTCTCCTTTGACTTATTGATGTGGCAGATTGTATTTATATATTTCCTAACAGGTAGCCATCCTTACATTTGGTCACAATATGTTACTCTTTTAATGAGTTATGTTTCCGAGGATGTCCTTATAATTTTGAAAATTTAAAAAACTTTCTCTATGATAATATGCTGTTCAGTGTTCTTACTTTTTTGCTTTCTTTGGGTTTAACTTGTTCCTTTTCTGACCTCTTCAGTGATTTCATGTATATTTATTATTTGTTGTTTAATGATAAATACTTTTAAGGGGTGTCTGGGTGGCTTAGTCAGTTGAGTGTCCAACTGCATCTCAGGTCATGATCTCATGGTTCGTGAGTTTGAGCCCCGTGTTGGACTCTGCTGACAGCTTGGAGCCTGCTTTGATTTCTGTGTTTCCTTCTCCCTCTACCCCTCCTCTGCTTGTGCTCTGCCTCTCTATCTCTCTTTCTCTCTCAAAAATAAATAAACATTAAAAAAATAAATAAATTTGGAAACAAAAATGCTAAATACTTTTAAGGCACTGACTTTCCCTGTTAAAATTTGTTGTTTCAAGATCCTCAACATTTTTTCTGAGAAATTTCAAATATACAGAGAAGTTGGATTTTGCAATAAACACCTGTATACACTCACCATCTATACTCTACACTTGTTAACATACTACTCTGTTTGCTTTATCACCTATCTATCCATCTCTTTTTTTGGATACATTTTCAAGCAAGCTGAAGACATAAGTAAATTTTACTCCTAAACCCTTCTTGCTGCAGATTTTATGTGAGTTTTCTTTTTTTTCTAAATAGTTTTATTCCTTTCTGATTTTCTCTTTGATTCGGTGTTTATTCAGGAGGTATTTACATTTCGGTTGGGTTTTTTAAGCACTAAAATATAATTGTTAGATCTGATTTTGTCGTATTTTGGTTAGAGTGTGCAGCCTGGGCTATAGACACTTACATGTTTATGAGAGATTTAGTGCTGTGGATTCTTGGCAAGGGTAGCCAGCCTGTCCCAAGGTGTGCCCACCTGCAGTTGGGAGCACTATTGGACAGCAATATGCTCGCGGTGTGTCCATCACTCTTGTTACTCCTCCTGTCTAAAACTCTTCACTGAAAGGGATTGAGCATTGTTCTGTCCATTACCAATCCAAAAGGATATAAAGGTGTGCAGACCTGAAGGGGAAAAAAGGCACATCAAGACAACAACTCAAATTCTAAACTGAAAAAGGTTTAGCTCCATTCAGTGTATCCAGTGTGCCATCTGCTTGAAAAACACCAATTGGAAACATACAAATGAGGCAGAACATTCTTTACATGAGTTTGCTTATTTTTTTACAAAGTATTCCAAATCCTCAGAAGTAAGTGAAACAGGGAAATATTTTTTCTTGAGCTGAGAGGACTTGACATATATAACATGTGATAATTTTGATGAAGATGAATGGTAGGCAGTTGGGGCACTAGGCTGATTGATCTTTAGGTTATCTGACTTTCGGTGAATTAATCAAGACATGAAAGACTGAAAATAAGTAAGAGGAAGAATGCTAAGGCTGACCCTCAGGCGGCATGGTAGCTGCAGTGGTGGTGGTGGTGGTGTTATGTTTGCAAGCTTGTGTTTATGCCGCTTGTACTTAGTGAGGAGTCACTGGTGAATTATGAAACTCTCTCTTTCTGCAGATTACGCTTCATGTCAGTAGAAATGGACAGCAGCAGTTTTATTCAGTTTGATGTGCCCGAGTACAGCAGCACTGTTCTGAGCCAGCTAAACGAACTCCGCCTGCAAGGGAAACTATGTGACATCATTGTCCACATTCAGGGTCAGCCATTCCGAGCCCACAAAGCAGTCCTCGCTGCCAGCTCCCCTTATTTCCGGGACCATTCAGCATTAAGTACCATGAGTGGCTTGTCAATATCTGTGATTAAAAATCCCAATGTGTTTGAACAGTTGCTTTCATTTTGTTACACTGGAAGAATGTCCTTGCAGCTGAAGGATGTTGTCAGTTTTCTGACTGCAGCCAGCTTTCTTCAGATGCAGTGTGTCATTGACAAGTGCACGCAGATCCTGGAGAGCATCCATTCAAAAATCAGCGTTGGAGATGTTGACTCTGTTACTGTTGGTGCTGAGGAGACATCAGAGAGTCGTAATGGAGTTAAGGACAGCAGCTTCTTTGCCAACCCGGTTGAGATCTCCCCTCCATATTGCTCTCAGGTACGGCAGCCCACCACGAGCAGCGATCTTCGGATGGAGACGACGCCCAGCAAAGCTTTGCGCAGCCGCTTACAGGAGGAAGGGCACTCGGACCGAGGGAGCAGCGGGAGCGTTTCCGAGTACGAGATTCAGATAGAGGGGGACCACGAGCAAGGGGACCTGTTGGTGAGGGAGAGCCAGATCACTGAGGTGAAAGTGAAGATGGAGAAGTCTGACCGGCCCAGCTGTTCCGACAGCTCCTCCCTGGGGGACGACGGGTACCACACAGAGATGGTGGATGGGGAACAAGTTGTGGCAGTGAACGTGGGGTCCTACGGTTCTGTGCTGCAGCACGCATATTCCTACTCCCAAGCGGCCTCACAGCCAACCAGCGTATCCGAAGCTTTTGGAAGTTTGAGTAATTCCAGCCCGTCCAGATCCATGCTGAGCTGTTTCCGAGGAGGGCGTGCTCGCCAAAAGCGGGCTTTGTCTGTCCATCTGCACAGTGATCTACAGGGCTTGGTGCAGGGTTCTGACAGTGAAGCGATGATGAATAACCCCGGGTATGAGAGCAGCCCCCGGGAGAGGAGTGCAAGAGGGCACTGGTACCCGTACAATGAGAGGCTGATCTGCATTTACTGTGGAAAGTCCTTCAACCAGAAGGGAAGCCTCGACAGGCACATGAGGCTCCATATGGGAATCACCCCCTTTGTGTGCAAATTCTGCGGGAAGAAGTACACACGTAAGGACCAACTGGAGTACCACATCCGGGGTCATACTGATGACAAACCATTCCGCTGTGAGATCTGCGGCAAGTGCTTTCCATTCCAAGGTACCCTCAACCAGCACCTGCGGAAAAACCACCCTGGTGTAGCCGAAGTCAGGAGTCGCATCGAGTCCCCCGAGAGAACAGACGTGTATGTGGAACAGAAACTAGAAAATGATGCGTCGGCCTCAGAGATGGGCCTAGATTCCCGGATGGAAATTCACACAGTGTCTGATGCTCCTGATTAAGATGGTAACGAAGTGCACCCAAACAAAGCACATTAATCAATGCATATTTGTGATTTGCTTTGTTGTAATCTTTGGTTTTCCCAACCATCTGGAAATCTCTCCGTCTCTTGGCAGTTTTTCTAAGGTTTCTGGAAGGAACACTTCATTGTGTTTATCCTTTCCCCCGCCCTCCCTCTCCCAAGGAGCTCAAAGCATGAAGGGCAACGTATCCAGGGAAAACACAGGCTGACAGTATTCCTCTTTGGCTGAACTCTTAATCCCAAATCTGCCAGTGATTTAGCTATGCCAACTGGTTGACCCTACATTCTCTGCCAAGAGGCATACTCTCTCGTTGTGTGCACTGGCACCAGTGCGTTTCCACGGAGAGAGACTGGGATGCCGTCAGCTGATACAAATGGGTAACCTTTTCTAATTTAAAATTACTTTTAAGGGGTAGTTAGACAATTTATATATATATATAATAAAGCGATTATTATATATATAGTATATATACATTCTCAAATTTGATTTTATTCTGGTTGAGGTGAATGTAAGAGGAATATATAATTTAATACAATGTGAACAGGGCTTTTGACTCTGTCTCGTCCCCACCCAATGTTAGGGTTTTGCCCCTTTATATCCCTTACAAAAGAATGTTAATAGGTTTTCACATATATAATTCATTGTGTCCAAAAGCAAGCAAAGCAAATCACAGTGTTCATAGCTCTGCTTCCTAACAAGTACATAAACCAAATGCCATAAAATGTATTCAACTCTAGTTGGAAACCGTTTGGAATTTTTGTTCGTTGTCCAGTAGGTAAGCTGGATGACCCGTGGTGCTGACCTTTTTACATATTGTAGTGTTATATTAGCCAGCCCCAAAGGAGCAGTGGTTTTCAATGTTTTTACTGGCCTACGAATCTACCTTCATTCCGTACTGTAGAAACACACCAGGTAACTAAATCGAATCACTCTACCATGAGTTAGTACTCACACTAAAGGAAAGGGATTTGTAGTTCTGTCTACAAAATTCTCCAAGCAGTGTTGTGGGTTTTTTTTTTTTTCCTCTTTTCAAACAGCTAGTTCAGGTGCACAGCAACTTTTTCTACATGCAGTTCCCAGGGAAACTGCAGAACTTGGAATTTGTACTTTTTGTAAAGATATACTCTATGGGAATTGCAAGCAATATATCTATCTTAGTATTGTGTGTGCTAACGAGAGCCTCAGTGGCTCCCCCACTCTCAGTGTTTCCTGCTTAAAGAAACCAACAGTCAAAAAGCCCTCTAAGATACTCCGTGTGTCACCAAATCTGTGTGTGTCACCATTTTTTGGGTCACGTGGTGCTATTTTTATGTTATGTATCTTTTAGGTCAGTATAGTTGTAGAAAATGTGAAATCTAACGGTAATAGTGAATTACAATTTTTTTTTTTCCTCTCCTGAGTTTCTAGCTTGAAAAGAGACCTCAAAAGCATGTGCTTGCTGGCAAACACATTACTGTATCAAAACATACCTGAGTCCTATTTGAAAAATGTCTTGTCAGTACTTTCGAAGTGTCTTCAGCTCTGTACTTTGTTTACCCGTCTGCTTCTAGTAAACAAAACAGGCTCTACGAGTTCGCTTTGGTACTGTGCACCCTGACAGAGTACTTTCGGAAGCAATTTGACGGTGAGTTTGTGCTGCGGGCCGCCCTGCCCGTAGGATGTCAGCGCTCCAGACTCCCTGCTGGAGAACCTTGGCTCTGAAGCCCGCAGCCAGTACGTCTCCCCAGGAGAACGGCACAAACCACCCAAAAGAAAAATAGGCATAAAAAGACACAACTCGAGAGGCTTAGGAGTTGAAGGAGTACAGAAATGGACGTTTGCTGGTTTTCCATGCTTTTTTGGCTCTTAAGATACCAAGAATGGTGGGAGGTAGGGGGTGTTCAGGGGAGGTTTTGGGGGTTTTTGTTTTTGTTGTTCGTTTTCGTTGTTTTGTTTTGTTTTGTTTTGTTGAGAAAAGAAAATCATTCGGGCCCTTGTGTGTGCTAAGCCCCCGGGGGTGGTCGCTGTGTGGTAGCTCGTCTCTAGCACACAGGATCTGCCTGTTCCCACGTGAACGGCTGCGCCACACATCAGTGTTACTACGTACAGATGACACTCTAGTCCTGCTGCTCACGAGGAGCAGCGTTTGCTAAATCGGGTATATAGTATGCCTTTTCCTGTCAAACTGCCTAAGTAAGGGGTGCGCGCTCTCCCTGAAGCACTCGCTCAACTCCTGTCAAAGCTGCGTGCCTCAAGGGGAGGCCGGACCCCCAGTGTTTACCCACTTAAATATGTTCTGGGGTTTCAGGTAAACGTTTGTGATTTTTTTTTTCCTTACACGAATACGTTGGGTTTTGATTTTTCTTTTAAGAATTAAATGCAAAAAATTTGTGTGGTGGTAACAAGTTAAGTTCGTGACAAGAAATGCCCAAATGGAGGACATGAGAGGTCAGGCTCAGGGAAGGAACACCTCCTTTTCACTCAGGCTTGGGGCCTTCTGAGAGGTTTCCAGAGCATTCCGCGATAGATAAGACAAGTCAGGAGGGGAGAGCACTTGGGGCAGGTACCTCGAATATCCTGGTTCTTGTCACCGTTGTCAGTCTTAACCTTATTTACATGGAGTTCTTTGTATTTGTCAATTTGTTTCACTGGTTTGAGTTTACCAAAGAGTGACTTATCCAAAATTGTCTTTGACAAAACTATACATTGCTTTGATTGTACAGTTCAGGTTCAACCATTGTAATGGGACTGTTAAGGGGCAGAAAATTGATTGAGTTTCTCTCTACGAACCATGATTCCGCATTTTGCAAGTTCCACTTGCTCCCATTCATGTTGCTAACACTTTACCCTTTCCACTGCTAGCAGTGTTAAGAATGAATTCTCAAGCCATAACCCAGTACTGTAAGGTTCCACAGGGCTTCGAGGAGGCAGCGCGTAGGCCAGCACCGAGCTGGGTAGCCTCTCTGAGCGAGCACGCTGTCGTGTTTCTCGGCGTGCGTGGCGGGTGGAAGGTTAACTCCATTCAGATCGGGCAGCAGCAATCAATTGTGCCTTGTCACAGGAGGATGTGCCAGGAGGATTAACATGGCCACAGAACAGAAACCTTCTCTCCCCGAAGTTCCCTCCACGTCTCCGCAGACGAAGTACGCTGTGTAACTCCTTAGAGCAACTCTTTTTTTGGAAAGCAAAGTCCCTATCTCTGTACAGGTTTAGGTTAGATGTTTCGTTTCTAACAGATGCAAAAACCAATTCAGATAAAAGCGATCTGTGAAGAAATCTTTTACAGCAAAACATATCCTGAATTCATACAGGTCTGTTCATAATTGAGTCTCTCCTTGAGCTACCTTTTCAAATACGTAGACAATGTGAAGACAGTGACAGCGTCCTTTTCTATAGGTGTTTAACCTGCTATTACAAACTGTGAAAACAAAGAATTTTATACTTTACTAACGTTTGTGGGTTTTAAACAGTTCCTTTCGTTCTGATCAGTTCTTTCCCCTCTAATTTCTACTAAAGCTGTAAATACATTTAGAAATTATATTTGTAAATACAGCACACAAAGACAAGTTCATTTTTTGGTTAGTGGAAAGCCTCCCAATTGGCTCTGCTTTGGCAGTTTTGGTTTCGTGTGTGTGTGCGCGCGCGTGTGTGTGTATGGTTGGTTTTGTTGTGTGTGTGTTTGTGTGTGTTTTTTTTTTTAATACAGCAGAAAGGATACTGTCGGTTCACTGTTAAGCAGAATATACTGTAGAACTAAATTGAAAATTTTTCAATCTTCCAGAGCATGAGTAGATGTCTTTTCTCATGACAGCAGTTATAACCAAGTCTTTGTTTTTCCCTTAGCCCAGACCATAGGCCTGCATATGTTCGTGTGCGGTTTTGTTTTTACTTTTATTTTGACGGCCTAGACTCTAGGAAGAATTTGCAGGAACACAAAACAAGGGCTGGGGGTGGGGGTGGGGGTGGGAATCATCTCTGTGAATGAGCTTTACTTTCAAGAAATCAATGTATTTTATTTTAACAACTTTTCTATTAGTTACTGTGATTTTTGTTGTTGTCTTTGTTATTGTTAAATTTTGTAATGGTTTCCTGTGAAGCCTCCACTGAAAGGGACTCAAATATGCAACACCTAAACTATTTTCCAAGGGCACATGCCCCTTGAATGGTGCTTCTAGACTGGTCAGGGTTATTTATTAAATTTTATATATGAAAGTATTGGGGAATTATGTAAATTCTTTATATGGAACTATCTAGTTCATAAATCATAGATTTCATATTACTCAGTGCAACTGAACTGAACGTTCAGAAGAGTCATTCACATTGTTCCAAATTTGTAATGGTTGTCACACGCCACACACGTCTTCTTCAGTAAGTGCCAGAGCGTTCCCACTGTTTCTGCCCAGTGCCCGACTTCTCTGCCCGGAAGAGGACCTTGTTTCCCCCGGTTCCCCTCTGGGGCTGGCACAGACAGGGCTACCCTAGTTCTGGCTCCAGCCCTGGAGTAAGCCTTGCAGCAGATTCAGTAACCAGACCTCTTGCTGCCCCTCGGTGACGAGTATGCTGTGAATTCAACCTTTGGACTTGCCGCCCAAGCCCTTGGTTGCTGCCCTGACTATAGTAAGAGGTAAACTTACCTGGTTTCTTTGAGAATGACCATTTTCCTAATGTGAAAACCATCTCTCTCACCACTTTTATTAGTAGGGCTAACATTTTTTTCCGTTATAAATGGTTGAGCAATTTGAATGACTTAACACAGTGTCATTATCTTGCAATATAAACTGGTAACCTCACAAGTCCACACTTCATCGCCATATGAAGTAAATGAAGCTAGCTAAGCGGATGCTGTATCAACTAGTAACTTGCCATTAAGGATTATTTTATAGCATGAATTTAAGACTATTTATTCAAATGATATTTTACTCTTGTATTCATTTTGTTTTAGATTTGTGACATGAATATTTCAGTGCTGCTTAATTTTGTTCTGAATTCTCGTTTCTTGC